ACAGAATTGCATTTAATATTCTTTTCTTTATCATACTCTTAAAGCGGGAGGAGGGGGCATGCAAAAATAATCAAATAAAACACAAACATAAAACGAATGTTAAAAAAGTGACAACACTGCTCCCTCATGCTTGGTCCTGGACCACTTCCGACCCCGCTCCTCCACTCGCTCGCACTTCCTTGAGTATCCTCCTAAAAAAGCAAACAAAATAATGATTGAAATTAGAAGATCTTGATGCAATATCGGCTATCAATGTTAACAAATCAAATAAACTCGGGTATTCTGCTTGTCTGTAAAGGTAAATCCGAATTTGCACATCTTTTTTATGCTCCGCTTGAGAATGAAAATGTCTCTAGTGAACTTTTAAGAGATCCTGTTTCTGTAATTTCATGTCAACATACAGACCCAAGTCTAGTGGTCATTGCCAATTTAGGTTAAGTGTCGTAAATCCCGTTGTAACTTCGCAGGTGGCATAAACAGCTCCTAAAACCCACAATTATAAAAGTTTGAGTGGCTTAATCGTGCGCATTAAGCCACGTCGTCTCATGCATGCAGGCTTGTATTTTATTAGTAATAATAAAGAAGATACAGCTTCCCCTGCTGCTGCATTTTTTTTCTTTTATAAATTGCGACTTTTATTATATGCACCTAATTACATTCAATCCAAAAGGTATAGACTACGTCCCGTTTGCACCTCGAGAACTGTTAAAAACTTTCGGCTCCAGGTGAAAAAAAAATAACCTCTCTATGTAGCGAATCCAGATGTAAACGTTTTTAAGGCATAATGCACCATTCATACAGTCGGTGTTTGGCCACCCCGTCGTTTGAAAAAAAATTCGGGCCGCTTTCTCGCCGGAATGTGACGCCTCCGTCATGTTCCGGCATGAAAATATTCGAAGGTTCTCTCAAATGACAGGAAAGCCGTTGTTTCCGAACGACGGGGTGGCTAATCGCCGGCTGTGTGAGTCAGGCCTTTTGCTTTGTTCATTGTTCTTATAGTAAATGTATAAGAAAAATTCCAATCCACAGATTATGGATGGAATGTAATTGTATTTTTCAGCGTTGAATAACGCGCAAAGCTCGTTTCTCTTTCTCTTGTGGTGCCGACGGTGTAAGCGACTGGACATTTTTCTAATTAATTTTAAGGCAAAATATGAAAAAAAGAAATTGACCAAAAATTGCTATCTTTACTTACGCGTTCTCCGGCTTTTTCAGGTTTCCGCGCACGTTGCGGAACCCGTTTCCGAGGTGGAACGTTTAATCCTTGAACTCGAGTCCTCGGAAGGTATCCATTGCAGCGCCTAAAAAAGAGTGTAAAAAAGACCACTTTAAAATTCGTGTCCTCTCAAACTTTCAATTCTGCCTGCTATTAATAGAAGCATCTTACTTTTGAAAAATAAAAACAACAACCTGCTAGGTTTACGCGCTGTCTTTTCTTTACCTTTAAAACCTGGTACAGCGAGGACTGTCGCTGCAGCCGGAGAACAAAAGATGTGAGCAGATTTTGTGACATTATGATTAAAATCTACTTTTAAAGCTATGCAAGATCATACTCTCGGAGATGTCGATTCTACAAAAAGTTATATTAATTTAGACATTTTCCATAAACATCTTTTTATGGAATAGCGAGCAATGGTAAGTACGTTTTACTTTGGAACAAAGAAAAGTAAAGATAACCCATCATTGACTTATAAAACAATATTAAAACTGAATAAGCATGTTCAACTAAGCAGGAAAGGCATAACACCTATCATATCAGAAAAAAGAATGTTCTGAATTAAATACTTTATTCGCTATGTCGTTTTTTCTTATCCATTTCTCTTTTGCTTTGGCACTTAGAGCAACATAGCTTTCATAAACAGTTTAACTTTCTAACAAAATGTTAAAATTGAATTTGATTTCATTAGATATTGTGGGAGCCGAGAGTGAAGGACGAGGCAGAGGGCACGCGACAGGCGGTCGGCGGAGAAGTCACGAGCTGGCGCGAGACAGTGCGTGCTGAGCGAGGCTAAAGCTGGGCAGGAACGTTGGATCCGGACTGCCTGGCCTGGCCCATGGCGAACACCGGAGCGGTCCACCAGCGAGGTCTGGAGCAAGACCGGCGGAAACGGCGAGCCCTGGCCATACGAACTGCGCTATGACGATTCCGGGGTGGTTCCGCAGCGAGACTCGGGCATTGATAGCCCGAGACAGCCAGCCTCCGCAGCGCTGGCGTGGGAAAAGCGATCCGCAGGCCTGGACACGGACCCCGACTGTGAGCTCTGATCGACGGGTGACAACAGAATTCGGCGGGCCCGGACTACCGGCTCTCGACGGCGGGCAATCGGGAGGTACAGTAAACTCATTCGCTGTCTTCTCCTGTTATGTCAATCCCTAGGTGACGGGCGGAGCGCATACCGATCGGGCGGTGATCCTTAGCAGAGGGACCTCCGTAAAAAAACCCAAAATATATGTGACAATTTTTTTGCTTTTTATTCATGGCTTGATACACATCAGGATCATTATCTGTAATGATTCCTATATTGGTATTACGAACTTATTTGTTAATCTAAAACGTCGATTTATTCTACATTATTTCATATGTCGTTCTTGTTCTTCGATTCCCCGTGCTCGTCGTCGCTGCCGATCTAATCCGAATTCACTTCATTATAAATCATGATCACCTTTCGAACTCCAGATTACCCTTCACTGCGTTCAATAGTATTTAATGGGAGTACTTACGACGGACGGCCTTCTCGGCTGCCGTCCCTTCGAACACAAGCTTGCCCGTCGATCTCCTGTAGGTGAAGGTGACGGCGAACTCCTATGAGAACAAACTATTCATCATGCCGTTAGCCTTGTTTGCAAGTGCTGAGCCGTCAAATCTCTTAAGGTGGGAGACCTGCAAGTAGAATTGTCATGAAATTATTTTTCCAAAGTATGCAAAATACAGGTCACAGGGCACAAATGAGAATCGGGATGTTCACATTGCAAAGCGAAAGAAACCAAAGTACGCACTATATAAAATTCAGACTTTACCCAAACTGGGATTCCATGCCTACGTGCCAGAGCTTATGGCAATATAATATGAGGTCAGAAGCAAAAAAAAAAAAAAGAAACACCTGAGCTTGACTGCGGGAAAATGATTTCCAACTACAAAAGTAGATAAACCGCACATACATTCTGCTAGATCTGTCGCATAGTTTCACTCTAAACAATCAGGTGCGTTCCTGTCCCATGAAACACCTAATAGCCAATCACAGCTATCAGCGGAACGTGCTCGGTGAATTTATTTTCATTTATTTTCAAAATACTGCCAATCCCCATTGAGGGATTATAGCAGGTATGGTACAAATAAAAACAACAGACACAATTTTTGAGGCTCGCGAAAATAAGTAATTCTTAGAAATCGTCACTTCCTTTCATATTGAAACAAACGAAACAGAACATAACAGAAAGAACTAACTGATGAACTTGCTGAGAAGGTCTTGTTCAAGAGCTTGAATGAACGCATCCACATTTGTGTAGCTAAAAAACAGCGGATCAAGGCTGTTCCAATTTCTTACAGCTGAAGGAAAGAAAGAGTACCTAAAAGTATTATTATTGAAAGAGTATTCAGTTAATGTATTGCAGTGTTTATGTCTTGTTGTTCTTGCCTGGGAAAATTCACATACTTGTTCTTGTCCATTTTAAAGGCGTCGTTTAAAAGGAGATATAAAAATTTGAGTCTTCCTAGTTTGGCGCGATCAGCAATGGTCAGTAGGCTGGATCTTTTCAGCAATTCTGTAGGGGAATCAAAGCGACCATACCTGTGGTGAACAAATCTTATCGCTTTCCTCTGAACACTTTCGAGGATGTTGACATTGGTTTGCATATGTGGGAACCAAGCAATGAGTGCATATTCTAATACCGGGCGAACGAGTGTGGTGTATGCGAACAACTTGGTTTCACGACTAGAGTGTTTTAACGTTCTTTTTAGAAAAAATACTTTGACGAGCGCTTTACTAGATACGTATTTGACATGTGCATTCCAGTTTAAATTAGACGTTATCACGACACCTAGATATTTGTATTCAGTGACTCTGCGCAAAATTTTACCGTCTAAGCTGTAAGGAAATTCCAGAACATTTTTTTTTCTTATTGGTCAAGCACATACAAACCGTCTTTTCAGTGTTTAAAACCATCTGCCATTCACTGCACCAGTCTGCTACCTTCTTTAAAGATCTGTTTAATATTGCTTGGTCATCTTGGCATGAGATATCGCGATAAATAATGCAGTCATCTGCAAATAACCTTATGTTTGCGTCAGTGCCATCAACCATGTCATTAATGTACAGAAGAAATAAGAGTGGAGCTAGGACAGAGCCCTGTGGAACTCCCGACTCTACTGCAACTGGTTGTGAAACCTGTCCTTCGTAATAAACAAACTGAAAACGATTTCTTAAATACTCCTCTATCCATTTTATTATCGGTCCCTCCCCCATAATATGTTTAAGTTTTTTTACAAGTTTGACGTGCGAAACACGGTCGAAGGCCTTTGATAAGTCTAAGTAAATTACGTCAATTTGTCTTCTATTGTTTATACCCATCGAAAAATCATTAAGTGTCTCGATTAGCTGTGAAGTCGTTGACAAACCTCTCCTAAAGCCGTGCTGGTGTGCATTTAGTATATTATGTTTCTCAGTGAATTCTGTCATGAATTTCAAAATTATGTGTTCCATTATCTTGCAGCAAGTACACGTTAGGGATATAGGTCTGTAGTTAGAAGTTAAAGAGCTATCGCCAGACTTATGAATAGGAATAACTTTTGCGACTTTCCACTCTACGGGAACCAAAGAAAGACTCAAAGACTTGCTAAAAATTAGCACTAAATACTTGCTTATCCATTCAGCGTATTTTTTTAATAACATGTTAGGAATTTCGTCAGGACCCGTACCCTTTTTTGCGTCTAAGTCGAGTAAAAGTTTAAGAACGCCTGCTTCTGTAATGTGTAAGCCACCAAGATCTTTATCTGCGTAGGTTTAAGAAGGTAGAGTTAAGTTTTCTTTGCCATTATCAGCTGTGAAGACGGACTTAAAAAAACTGCTGAATTCTTCTGCCATTTTTTGTGCCTCCGAGGCACTTATGTTGGAAGTTTTAGATTTTGTGGGAATTATATGGTTCCAGAATTTTTGCGGTGATGCTTTCATAGAATTGTGGAGGGTAATATTGTAGTATTTGTGCTTTGCTTCTTTGATCTTCAGTTTGAGCAGTCTGGATAGTTCCGATATAGTTGAATTGTGGTTGGTGAGTGGACGCTTTTTGGACGACTTTCTTAGTCTTTTTAGCTTACGCTTCAGGTGAATGATTTCACGTGAAATCCATGGGTTTAGCTTCCTTATGATTTTACGTTTACTAGGAATAAACTTACTGATGCAGTGATTAATAATTGACTTGAGTTTTTGCCATAGTTTGTCAATACTAATATCAGTTCCATCATAGAGTTCTTGAAAATCGTTAAATTCATGAGCAAGATAAGTTTGAATGCTAGCATCGTCGGCTTTGTAGAAATCGAGCACGTATTTGGCGCAGCCATGGGAGATGGCGGAACTACGAACAGGTACCGTGCATACAACAATTTTATGCTCAGATATCCCCTCCACCACTTCTACGCAAGTTTGAGCCCGAGGAAAGTGGTCACTGAGGAACACTACGTCAAGCAAGCTCCGTGACGATCCCTGCACCCTGGTTGGTTCCCTGACGATTTGGGTTAGATTGAACGCAAATAGCATGTCTATAATAACATCAGCAGTGTCCAGGCCAGGGTGCAGCGAGTCCCAGTTTATTTCGGGCATATTAATATCACCCGTCATGATGATTTTGTCGCTTTTAATATTTGCTAGCATGTAGTCATAGAGGCTATGAAGATACTGTAGGTCAGAGTCTGGGGGACGATAAACAACGCCGACATCAATAGAATAATTTTCAAAGGAGACCTTACACCATAAAGATTCCACGTTTTTTACCTCAGGCATAGGCACATAAGAAAGACCGCGTTTTAAGATGATTGCTACACCACCACCCCTTGTTAATCTATCCTTTCTTAGAATAATGTAGTCTGGTGGCAATATTTCGCTGTCAGATATTAACGGGTGTAGCCACGTTTCAGTTACTGTAACGATTTCTGGATTGTATTCCAAGAGTATAGACTCTAGTGCATCTACCTTATTTAGAAGACTTCTTGCGTTTAAATTAAGGACTGTAACATTAGACGGTAAAACACGGTTATCAACTAGGCGTGGTCGGTGACATCGTTTTTTGCTATTAGAACTTCGTCATTTTTATCATCGTCCCATGCGTACAACTGCCCGTTTACCCTGACCTTATCGAAAGTCAAGAACACTTTGTCGTTTTTATCTCGATTGATTTTAGTGCTTTCCCACAGTTTCTTTCGTATCTGTTGCACGGGGCGTGAAAAATCCTCGCTGATAGAAAACGTTGTCCCTTTCAATTTGAAGCAATTTTTCAGCACTCTTGTCTTATCTCTGCAGTCAAGTAGTTTTAGGATGGCAGGTCTAATTCTTTGGTCCGTCTTTTTTCCCAGACGGTGAATTCTTTCGATGCCTGATATCGGCGTGTTAAGAAGCTTTCCGAAGATTTCGTCTGAAACCACTCTTTCAAGTATTTCACTGTTTTCAGTGTCTTTTTCTTCGATTCCATAGATTATCAAGTTTGCTCTCCTGCTTCGGTTTTCCAAATCGTCTAGCTTTTTAGAAATAGTTTTGATGTTAGCTTCAAGTTCAGTTATTTTTTCTCGACACGCACTGACGGTAGTTTGGAGCGTACTAAAGCTTTCTAGATTTTGTTCGATGGCTGAGAGTCTGTCATTTGTTGTGACCTTTTCGTTCTTTATGTCCTGTATATCTTTAGCAATGGCTTTAAGCTGTTCCATTATAATCTTCATGTCCGGACCAGGGTTAACCTCAACATCACCGCTAAGCAGGAGTAGCATTTTTAAATACACGATCACATTGCACAACAATGAATAACACGACCGTGGGCAAGGCAGCAAGATCAGGCACACGTTATTACTACGAAAAGATAGGTACTAGTGCCTCCTTATCTGTACGATAAAGACGAAAGGGTTTTTAAGCCTCATGTCCGAGAAGCTGCCGTGCCCAGTGTCGTGGTGCCTCCCGCTGCCCGGTTTTATAGCCTCAAACGAAGCTGTCGATGACGATGGCTTGTCGAAGATGGGCCGCGGGTATTCGTTTTGAAGTGGGTGGGTCCGATGCTTGTGACGCTCGCTTGTGTCCGGTTGGTCAAAACGTCTGATGACGGATGCAGACAGCGGGACGTCGGACACCGTAATCTTGCCGAGGGTTGCATCATCCACGCTGATAGGCACCAGCAGAACGTCGAGCAAAATCTGTACGATAAGACGAAAGGGTTTTTAAGCCTCATGTCCGAGAAGCTGCCGTGCCCAGTCGGGGCAAATATGTGTTGAGACCCAAAAATGAACTCTTCGTTGGGACAATGAGCGTGACGTTTCACGTTGCTCAGTGTGCCAGCGCCGACTTTACTTTTAGGCCTAAACACCCGTTCGACACCATGATTCACCGAGCTCGCGCCACGGATTGCTCTCATTGACTATTAAGTGTGTGATGAGAAAGTAGACACACGATTTTTTTAGAGTGCACATGCAATCCTTGTTTTCGATCGACGTGTTAAGTGGCTCGAGGTAAACCTCCGCGATGAAATTGAAGCTCGAGGTTGCAAGTGCCATCGTACAATAGTGGGTTGTCTTCAATCCCCTGTGGGCGTACCCTATTTTTTTTTCTCAAAACATTTTGTGATCTTTACATTTCTTTTTTTAGGAATATTAATGAAAGAAAACAAATGTTGTGTACGAAACGTCGCTGAACTAATTTCCTCTTTGAAACTTGCGAACTCAATGTAATCACTTTCCACAAAATTCAAGGAGCATATAAATCAGATAGGGTCCGCTTTCTGAAGTGCCCGTAAATGTTCTACAGGAACTACAGTCAGCCATTGGTCCCGCTACCGTTGATCTTTCGGAAGCATGGGCAGACTCGGCCGCACAATGCCACTTTTTTCGGGCGCAGGAAATGCGAGGCAGCTTTTCACGCAACATCTTGGGGGTATTCTTTTAGACGCCGATCACGGCAATTCACCACGGGCACTCACTACTCATCTCCAACTCTTGAATGCACAAAAAAACTAATCTTGAAGTGCAGAACAGTGAGCGGAACAAACATAACTGCAAAGGAAATGCACGGCAAACTGTTCTTCGCCACAGAAGTCATCTGCTGCGCAAAAAAAGGACGGAAAAAAAGCGCACGGTCGGGTGTTGTCACGTGACTTCCACCACTCACTCTTTCCTCTTCACTTTTCCGACCTCAGCGCGCAGTTTTTAGTTTCGTTTTCGAGCAGTAGCGTTTTTTTTTTTTTACCAAATATATTAGTGACTCTGTTGCGAAACATTATTGGGGTAGTCTTCCAACACCATAATAAATCGCCTGGCAAACAAATGAAATTTTTTGAAGGGGTGTCAATGTAATTTTGGGGGTGTCAGGGGCATGTATGACCCTGGCACCCCCATACAGCGAGGGTGTGCATCGGATCGTGCCTTGCACCGGTTCTGAGTGAGGTGTTTCTCATGTATGTAGTTCGGGCCATCAGGGAGCGACTGGAGAATTCCGCGCCGGGATGCCGGGTGCACCGTTATGTAGATGACTACCGAATCATACATGAAGAGCAGACAAACCCTGAGACCATCCTGGAGGCCTTCTCGTGGGGCCCCGCGGGCCTCGTCTTTCAAAGGGAGTACCCCTCCCACGGAACTCTACATTCTTAGACCTTCGTATGGCGATCCATCCCGGGGGGATTTGCTGGGTGTTTAGGCAAAGGACGGAAGAAGCCAGTTCTGCATTTTGCTAGCGCAAACTCTAAGTTCGTTAAAGGGAGACTGAAGCGGTTTTAAATATGAGAAAAGCACCCGAGCCAGGCTAATTAGATCTTAGCCATTACAATATTAAATGGTTAGGTGATTTTATGCGCGGATTAACCGGAAAGGCGCATTCAAAGTAGAATTGTAAGCACTGCTAGAGTGCAGGCGAGCTGGTAAGGAATCGACATCCTGTAAACCCGGAATCGGGGAACATTAAAAAACGGACGAAGACAACAAAATCTCAAACGCAACTGAAATTTATTGATTTGAGTACACCGATAAATCAACTTCCAAACACATGCAGCACTAGAAAGAAAAAGACGGAAGTCGAATGCATAAACGAGACGATCAATGAGTTCCACCCAGATAGCATAAGCCACTCCCGGCTCCACACTTTTGGAAAGGTAACCGCCACCCGAACAACAATAACACCAAGGGCTAACACACAAGGCGACTTCCAAACCGCTAAAGCCTAAGCGAGATTTTCTACTTCCAAGCAACCGCTTCCTGTCCCCCCCCCCCCCCCCCCCCACCGCCCCCCCGCCCCCGCCCCCTAAGTTTCCCAAGCTCCACTCAGACAAGCAAACACTCTTTCATCCGATCACTGATAACCGAAGGCGGCTGGTCGCGGATGCACAAAGTCTCCATAATTTGCCTTCTAAACAAATCTTTTTCGTTGCACAGAAGGGAAGTTTCATCCCCAAGAGGGGAACACAAATTATACGAACCAACGTGATTTGATAATTAAGAACTCTGCACCTTAATCTTTACACTCCTTTTAGACGCTCACTTAAAAGGACACTGACACCCCCCAAAATTTTTGTTTTTTAATTTTTTGCCAGGCGCTTCATTTTGGTGTCGGAGGACTACCCAATTAATATTTCGCGAAAGATTAGCTTATATTTCTTAATAAAGCCAGAAGACGCAACTGTTCGAAATGGAAACCGAAACCCGCGTACTGAGGTCGAAGGAGTAGAGAGGAGACACTGAGTGGCGGAAGTCACGTGGCTACACCCGACCGTGCGCTTTTTTTTTTTTTTCGCGTCTGCATAGCAGACGATATCCGTGACGGCGTGGCGGGAACTGTGTGCCGTGCGATTCTTTTGCAGTTATCTTTGTTCCGTTCGCTGTTCTGTACTTTAAGATGATTTGTTTTGTAAATTGATGAGTTGGTGATGAGTAGTGAGTGCCCGTGGTGAATTTCCGCGATCGGCTTCGAAAAGAATGCACCCAAGATGTTGCGTGAAGGGCTGGGTCACATGTCCTGCGTCCGGCAAAAAGTGAGATTCTGCGACAGAGTTTCCGAAAGATCAACGGGATCGGGACCAATGGCTCGCTGCAATTCCTGTAGAACAGCGACGGGCACTTCAGAAAGCGGACGCTACCTGATTTATATGCTCCTTGCATTTTGTGGAAAGTGATTGCATTGAGTTGGCAGGTGTCAAAAAAGAAATCCCATACCATTTAGTTCAGCGACGTTTCGACCACAACATTTGTTAATTTTTTCAGTGAGAATTCTAAAAAAAAAAGAAATGTAAACAGCAAAATGTTGGAAAAAAAAGGTACGCTATCACTGGGGATCAAGCCCGGTCCTGCTGCGTGTGAAGCGGAGGTCTTTCCACTGAGCTACTGGAGGAAGTCCTTCCTCACTAATAATACAGCCGGTAATGTGTAAGTTGGAAAATTTGCTACCGATTTCCCACCAGCAAAAGCACTCTTGGGTCGAAGTCGGGAATCACCACGCATTAGCGACATGCGCACCTAGTAAAGAAATCGTACGGGTGAATATTCAACTCAAAGTACGCACTTCGTGCTTGACGTTTGCGCGAACGATGCCATCAGCCACGGGAAGGGACAACGGCTCGGCGACGTCTTCGTGCAAACCGGCTTGGTGGTCGGGCCTGTCGTACGGGTTGAATATCAGTTCTTTTCATCGGTCCAAAATTTCTCTTTTCATTGAAGACAGAATTCGCCGGTACCGGGAAAGAAAATTCTGAACTAGAGGTCCAACGCCCGTCGTCCGCTGCCATTACGTCTCGCGACTCCCACGATACGCGAAACGACGCACGCACAGAATGCTTCCGGTTCTCTGTAGACCTTTTTTTTTTTCAATCAACGTATTTGCAGCTTTTTGATAGCCACAAAAAATGGGTTTCATATTCTTTTCTATTTTTAATGTTGAGTGTGTGCCTTCAGTGACCAACGACCTTGATTAAATTTGGTTGTCGCGTTGAAACCTTAGAAAACGGCCCGTGACCAAGGAAGAGAGAGTAAGCAAGACCCGAA